GGGCTATAAACTGTACATACCCCATGACCCAGCAACACCACTATGAGGTCTGTATCCCAAAGAGATTTTTTTAAAAAGGGAAAAGGATCTATATGTACAACATACATATGTATATATATATATACACACACACATACATATACATATATATGTATATATGTGTGTGTATGTGTGTGTGTGTATATATATATATATATATAACAAAAATATTTAGAGCAGCTCTTTTGTGGTAGCAAAGAATTGGAAATTGAGGGGCTGTCCATCAATTTGGGGAGTGACTAAACAAGTTGGAGCATATGATTGTGAAGGAATACTATTGCGCTATAAGAAATGATGAATAGAAAAATCTGGAAAAACTTATATGAACTGAACAGAGTGAAGTAAGCAGAAACAGGAGAACATTGTGCACAGTAACAGCAACACAATGATCCAAGACTATTCCAAAGGACTCATGATGAAAAATGCTATCTACCTCCAGAGAAAAAAGTGATGGGATCTGAATGCAGATCAAAGTATACCATTTTTGACTTTCTTTATGGTTTTTATTTTTTGATTTGTATTTTCTTTTACAACATGACTAATATGGAAATGTTTTGCATGATTGCACATGTATGACCAATATCAAATTACTGTTTTGGGGAGAGGGGAGAGGAGGGAAGGAGGGAGAGAATTTGGAACTCAAATTTAAAAAAATATTAAAAATTGTTTTTACATGTAATTAGGAAAAAATAAAAAAAAATATTATTTTAAAAAATGACCAAGAAGGAAATAGAGAAGAAAGTATAAATCTGGAGGGCCCTTTCAACTCTAGAATTCTCTTTCTCTCTCTCTCTTTCTCTCTCTCTCTCTCTCTTTCTCTGTATGTGTGCATTTGTGTGTGTGATTCATTTTGCCTAGAATGTTTTCCTGCCTTTTGTGAGCCCCATTGAGCTCACTTGTTCTTTAAAATCCAATTTGAATGTTACCTTCTTCATAAATCTTCACTGAAATCCTTTCTTTGTCTTGAGCTTCACAGGCCTTTATTTCATGCTTCTATAAGTAACTTGTCAAATTATATTTTATATTGTAGTTTCTGTATTATACCTAATTGATTGTAAGCTTCCTGAAGACAGGAATTGTGTTTTATCTAAACTTTTTATCCTTCCCAGTTTTTAGCAAATGTAGCACACAGTAGACACTTTAAAATGTTTGTTGAATGAATGAATGATGAACAGGTTGATTAGCTCTTTTCAGGTTCAATTTCTGTGCTGAAAAAAAAAAGATTTATCACCTCTCTCCCTTCTTTTTATCATCTGCCCTGTCTTTGTGTTTCACTTCTAGGAAAACCCTTCAGTTTGTCTGCTGTTTACAAAGATACTGACATATAGTTCATTGAGCAGGGTATTCTTGGGAATAGACTTAGCTTTGGGCACATAGTGGGTAGAATGAGTATCACTGGGAAAACTGCATTTGCTGAACGATAACACTTCAAGAAAGAGATGTTATTATCCATATATACGTTTTCTTGTTACTAAAACCTTGAATAGCTTTATATAAGTATGATAAACTCTCCTGTCTAGATATAGCTTTATTCTATCTTATTATAGAAGTTTCTATTACTGTAATATTTCTTTAAAACTTCAAAATAAAGACATTTGATAAGTTACACTCTTTAAATGATGTGAAAATATACATTTTTTCCCCTCAGACTATTTTTTTTTCTGAAGTGACATTCTTCTCCAAACTTTCCATTCTTCTATATATTCTTTTCCTTATTATTCTTTCTGTGATCTTGGAAACTATTAGCTTTTAATTTTCTTATAATTTTTTTTAATACTAAGAGACATAAACCCTGGATCATCCTATAATTCCAGGCATCTGATGTGGTATAAAGCTAAAGAAATGATTTTTCCCCTTCTAATTTCATTATATCTAGGCATCTGGGCATAACATCACTGAAAAATCAATGATACTGTGGTGTGGACATTCTCCTTGCTCTCTGCTTATATGTAGTTTTTCAAGTATTTGAAAAATTACTTGGGAATTCAGGTGTTACAGTTGGGTAGGAACCATATGATGTATAGATTACATACCTATATTCATAGTTCCGCAAGTGATAGTGTGATATGGAAAAAATAGACTGGCTTCAGAGTAAAGAACATCTGGGTTCAAAGATTTTCTTTCTGACCTAAAGTAGTTGTGGCGACATATACTAGCCACCACCACCACCACCACCACCAAACCAGTACCAAACTCTACTCAAGTTCAAACTTGGGTAGTTCAAATTTGCTGTTCTTAATGGGTGACCCAGGCTATCTATATATCACATGACTGGAATAATAAGGTTCATTGCTGTCTAACTTTATACGTTTTCTTTTTGGTTGGAACTTGTGAGTACACCTTGTGGAAACTCCCTCCAACATTACATATCAGTAATTCCTCAGAATGTTAAGGTTGTAGAGAGTTCCCCATGGGCCCGTGGGTAAAATTGAGTGACTCGCCTGAGGTGACACAGTCAATATGTATCAAAGGCAGGATGAGAACCCAAGTTTTACTAGTTCCAATGTCAGGGCACCATCCACTTCTCCAGTATGACTTTTGAGAATATTCCCAGAGGCGTAAGTACAATGCCCTATTGAAGTTAAACCTGTTGTCTTTGGAATTTGGAAATGAAGAAAACATTCTAGGAAGAGAAAGTTAGTTATTGCAAAACCCGTTAGTCCTGTTCAAGCATGCAGATGTTTTATTTTATTATTCCTCAAATGTCTATTTCTTTTTCAGCACAACGCAGTTATTATGCTATCCTCCAAAATAAGATATATGAATTTCAAACAAAATTGTCAAAAACAACAACCTCGGTTGCTCCATATGTTACACAGAAATAATTACATTTCATTTATAGTACAGATGCACTTTACACAGTCATCAACAGTCATTCACTACCAACACAGTATTTGAAAATCACCTAAAACACCAAAAAAGTTTTCTTTTTTTTAATTTCAGAAGAAATGAAAGAGTTTTGCATAAGTGATGAGTGGGAAGAGGGTGCCAAACTACCAACTGGAAAATTTTTGCCACATTTTCTAGAACATTTAGGACATTAAAAATAAAACTGGTAATTAAGGAGTTAAAATCCTAAGTATTCCTGCATTGCAGTTTCCTTAGTCTATAATTAACAACAACAACAAAAAATTTCATTAACTGTTATCAAAGAAGTTTCATTGTACAATCAACCTCAAAGCACGAAGTGATAAGAAGCAGGCTCTAGGAATGATTAATCTTCAAGCTGCTGGCAAATTAGTAATTTGTTCAGGAAAGATTAGGAGTAAAGCCAGTTTTTCCCAAGGAAAATTTGAGTTTATCTTATTTTCTTTCATTCTATAAGCATTTATCTAGTGCCTACTGTGTACACAACCTTGTTTTGGGGCAACTATAAAAATGTAAAGCAAGTACAATCTTACTTTAGAAAAAGTCTCAAATTATTTGGCATACAGTAGATGATATTTTCTCTATTTATGAACAAACATTAAAAAAAATTTTAAGGGAAAGAATAGTCTTTCCTCCCACACACATAGAAATTAAACTGTATCCCTTGCAGTAGAATCTTGGAATGGACAGAGCTTTTTGATTGACATAAAACTGTTCACACTGGTACATGCAGACATGTCTGCTGATACAATAGTCTTTAAAATATAAACACGTTTCCACTTAATGTACACAGAGATCAAGTTTGCATCACCAAACACCTTGTCCTCCTTCATGGGAGGAAACTGCTGTTTACAGGAATCTCTTTCTAGAAAAGATTTGCATTGCTTTCCTGAAATAGGGGAGAAAGCAATCTTTCTTTAAGTATTGGTACAGAAAGCTTCTTAGCTTGAGCTCCATATTTAGAATCATATTAGTTACTCTCAAAATATATTTGAGAAAATGTAATCTAATCAGACCCAAAGTAAAATAAGTAGAAAAATGTGTAGGTACGGCTGTAAGACTACTTGGTGCTATGGCATTTCTCCCAGCCTATTGGGACTGTTTGCACAAAACACCTTGTGATAAATTCAATATCTGGGCTAGTTGTTAACAGCAAAGAGGCTTAAAGATAAGTACTCATTTGTCAAATAACTCTTTGTCCCCCTTCTACTTTTTGATAAGGGGGGGGGTTGATTATCATATTTCACTAGTAAGAGACCTTGTCAGTTAATATAAAAGTAGGAAAGCTATTGGTGCTACAAAAAAGGTTAACCCAGCTGCTAATGAGAAACCTTTAAAATGTCAATAGAGAGGTGAGCTAGAAATACAGGAACTGACAACTCGCTGTGTCGCAGGACTACAGTGGACAAGAAGGCTAGTCTCAGAAAAAACACATCTATGGTACAACAGTTTGGATTTAAAACTTACTGAAAAAACTTGGGCTACATCAAAGAGTTATGTTCTCTGACTCCGGCACTAACTGTTAAGGGGATCTGGAAAATTAAAACAAACAAACAAAGTCCTGATTCCTGATACAACAGGTGTACAATGGATTATTGCAGTTGTAACAGTATCTAGGAAGCAAGGTAAAATGATAATCAATACTGAGCTAGCTGGACACTATAGCCTCACAGATGAGCGTCTCAGCCAGAAAGACTGCACTGTTAAGAGTTTATTTGTAGGGCTTACCATGGAATGTGAACAATCAGCTTGTTGTAAGTGCCCAGAAATGCCCCTTTCTACAGTTAAAGTTTATCATGCCTAATCTGAAGACAACATAAGTAAAGTGAGATCACTGCTCCAAAGAATTTCAGCATGCATTACGATGGTATTCCTTTCAGTCAGTACGAACCTGTCATATGAGGTTTTTTTTTTAAACGTAATATACTTCACTTGCCAATGTTCGTGTTTGTTTGTTTTTACAGGAAAAAACATGTTATCAAAATGTTTTCCGTATTTGTTTTTCATTCAACTGGAACATAGTGTTCAAAGTTGTTTTTTTAAATTTCATTTTATTTTTTTAAAAAAGAGTTCTTATCTCAAGAAGCATCAATGGGAGGCATTTCATTGTGCTCATTTGTAAAGTCAAAGGATCACAGATTATTCCGCTGTAGCTGTAGAATAGGTCAAACTTTATGCCCAGAAATGCCATTTGGTGGCTTTTTATGCACATCCTTAAGTTTGGAAACAATGTTTGGTTTTGCTACCAAGCGGTCTTCCATTTGCTGTTTAATTTGTAAAAGATTGGATGTTTCTTCCATCTTCCTCTTTAGAACCCTTTCGCAGTCAGGACTCAATTGCCCTCTGTCCTTATTCCAATTGTTTTACAAAGCAGATACTCTGACAATGTTTCCTCCTGAGTACTCTGGAGATTCTGGCCTGTCATCTCCTTCAGGGGTCGTTACTGGAGGCGTCGGTATGCTTATTATTGCTGTAGTCACGTAAGGTTGCTCACAGTTTAGTTTAACACACTCTTCCATTTTGGCATTTAAACTGGATCGGCTGATGGGGAAAGAACGGATTTAGAAAAAAGGTAAGTTGTCCACATTTTTCTTATATGCCTTTACCACAGAACTGAGGTGAAGATGTTTCAGTTTCCATGAATCAAATTTTTAAATCTAAGAATATTTGTGATCACTTTAAGTACATTTTTAAAGGAGAGCATAACAAAGTAGATAGTATGACCTGCAAACACAATCAATATTAACTAAAGACAATCAATATTAACTAAAGACATTCAGTTGACTTTGGTTAGCTAATTCAAAATTTCTACAGCTTCATTCTTAGTAGAACTAATACTAGTGTGTTAATTTTACACTTACAGAATTAACACCTTTGAAATCAATGGTATTTAAAAAGTTCCTTAGGAATTATTATTATTATCATTTTAAAAAATCCTCTTTAGACTACCTGGGTGATGATTTAAAACCACATGCCAAGAGCTGCTGCTGGTGTTTATGTTTTGCAAATGGAATTATTCTCTAATGCACATCACTCTTTCCCACTCTAGATGGTATTGTATGTAAACAAGACAGACTTTAGAGACAGAACCCTTTTAAGCTCTTAGAAGCTTGAGTTGTGTTTCCAAAGACTTCTGCTGTGTTTAAAAAGCCATAGACTGAGCTATTTGCTTAATCTCTTCATAGGCTGTTAGACACACACGCGCGCGCGCACACACACACAGCTGTTTGAATTTGACTTAAAGCTTCAAAACCACATACAAACACACAGACATATACACACATCATCCCCACATATACATGTACAAAAAGAAAAAAATAAAAATAAAACTTGGAATATATTTTGTCTGATTAAAAATTTCCCTTGATAATGTTTTTGTTGTGGCCAAAAATGCTTTTTGCTCAACAACTCACTTTGATCAATGGCTTTGTATAGCTGTCCCCTTAGTTTTCATCAAGTCAATTGGTATTTCTTTAAGTTCCTTATAAGTACTTTTAAATGTTTTCCTTTGTGTTAATCCTATCTTTTCAGTTGCATTTAAGTACCTTGAGGGCTAGTAGAAGAGCTTCAATTTCTTTGCTGTGTCTCCACTGAAAAAAATGTTACTATTTTTTCTAAATTTTAAAAAAATGAATCTAAGGGCTTCCTGAGTACAGAGACACTTGCATGAGTGCCCATACAAGAGAAGGAAGAGTGCTTATCAAGATGGAATGCCATTATCTCTTTCCTTCTCCTTTTTGATTGTCCTGCTACTTTCCCTCTTAATGGATATGTGCACACGTGCATGGCCACCCGACCTACTTCTGCCCATTACATTTACTGCTTTGGCCTCAGTTGTACATCTCTGGCAGTGTGTGTGAAATTGTGTCACAGGCATGTGTACATGAATAAATTCACATGCAAGCTTGTACACCTGCCATGGCCGTGGAGATGATTTATGTCATCAGCTCAGATCAAATTGAACATTCCAAGTACCTGTTAGATAAAGGTGTTCTCTCCACACACCTGATTTGGATAGTACTGAGTTCTTGTACACTGCCTTGGCGGCTCCCTGATACGTTGGCATTTGGGATCCGGAAAGTTTTTTTGTGTCGTCTTGAGCAGCAAGTGCTGGTGACACCTTGTTGTGATGACAGAGAAGGGCTGTGACTTGAAGGGCGGTTGACTGTTGAAACTTCCATGCAGCTCTCTTCATAAACTTGTTCATCCACAAATTCATGATTCTGTCCAACACCATTATGAATGTGGGTTGAAAGCACAGACAAAAAAAAAGGATAGATATATTATAGAACTATATTCAGAACCCATTTTTGCTCTCATGCATTTAGGCCATGCACAATGATTAATTCTGGTGAAAAGGCCAATTCTGAGCCTTTTTCCCCTTAGAAAACTTCAGAATGGAGTCAAACTCAGATAGAAATGGGGGCCATGAAACTGTACGTAAGGATCCCTGTGGGCACATATTGACTTAGAAAACTACATATTGACACCATTTATGTTTTCTTATATTTTATTTATTTATTTATTTCTCAATTACATTTTAATCTGATTTGGAGTGCATTTGAGAGTGTGGTCCCTGGACCACATATTTGACACTTTTGTTTTAAGAGGCACCTTCCCAACCTTAAGTCTAAAATCCTATGTTCCCATTAACATTCATTTTTGTTGCTATTGTGCAGTTGTTTCAGTTGTGTCCAACTCTTCATGATCCCATTTGGGGTTTTCTTGGCACAGTGGTTTGCTATTTCCTTCTTCAGCTTATTTTACAGTTGAGGAACTGAGGCAAACAGGGTCAAGTGACTTGCCCAGGGTCACACACCTAGTAAGTATCTGAGGCAGATTTGAACTCATGACAATGAATCTTCCTGTTTCCAAGCCCAGTGCTCTATCTGCTGTGCCACTTAGCTACTCATTAACTTTCATAATTTCAAGTAAAATCTCAAAGCTGCTTATGTTTCCAATTTGCATTTTTAGGAAAACCTTTTCTGATTTGTATCTCCTTGACCCCTCAACTGTACTTACAGAAGCTAATATACCCCTAATTTGATGATTGAATCCTTCTTGAAATCATATCTACATCTTTTACACACAAAATCTAGATGTTAAAAGATAAAAATACAAAACTTCGGAGCAGAAGTAGGTTTGAAGTGTCTTCAGGAGGTTCTAGCTTTAAAAGTAAAACTAACTCCAACAAGCAAAAATACATAAGAAACTGTTTTGAAGACTTTGGAGGCACCTAAGAGGCACAGTGGATAGAGGGGCTAGGCCTGGAATCAGGAAGACATGAGTTCTAATCAGACCTCAGAAATTTATTAGCTGCATGACCCTGGGTAAGTCACTTGACCTTGATCTGCCTCATTTTCCTCATCTACCTCTCAGTGTTGTGAGGATAAATGTTTTTAAAGTATTTTGCAAACTTTAAAGCATGATATAAATGCTACCTATTGTTATTATTATATTCATTATTATTGTTCTGTTTTTCTGCTTCAAATGAACATTTTCATAGTGACAAAGAATCTGTGAACTAGCTGTTGGGAAATTATATGCTTATGATAATTTCCATGTCTTTAGATTTTTATCTAAAATCTTGGTATGTAAAAAATTACAGAATAATAGAATTATTTATTAATTAAATAAATGGAATGGCTTAATTAGCAAATAGTTTAGACTTGCCCTGCTGAAGGAATTCTCTTTCCCTCTCTCTCTCTGCCTACGTTTTTCCCTCTTTCTTTCTGTCTCTCTCTCCCCCTTTCTCCCTCTCCCCTACTTGTTTTCTACCTCTACCTCAACCCTGTACCAGTAATAAACTACCAAACTACCTTCCCAACCACTAATGGAAAAGCAAAGTCTGTTCAGGGGTTATGAATGCCGTGAAAGTCTCACAATAACCCTTGAATAATTATATAACCTTCAGACAAAAATAACCAATACTGCCTGAATTAACTCATTGCATTGCTCACAGGGGAAAATAACCCTGTATTTTTAAAAAAGGAGAATGTGTTTGGGAAATGAACTTTTTGTACCAGTTCTTATTTGATTAAGTCGCATTTTAATTATGCAAACTCTTTATTTTCGTAATGTACTATGTATAAGAAAAACTACTTAAATTAAGTAAATGTATTAATAGATAAAAATACAATTTGGAAGGCATATGGATCAAAACATGGTAACAGTACACGATAGGATAAATTTTCTTACACAAAGTCATCCAATGTTTCAGAAATAGATAGACATTAAATAACACAGGCATCTATAGGCTGATAATATCAAATTTGACATAAGAAGCAGAATGTTTTAATTTCAAATAAGTGCCATGAAAGTAAAAATAGTAAGTGATGTATTATTTGCATTTAAAAAATAAAGGGGAAAATTTTATGTATTTTTTTCACATGTGAATGAATAAGAATTTTGTCTGGGAGAGCAATTCTTCATTGGCCTGTTTAGAAAACTGTAACTTATTATTATTATTATTGTTTCCATAAATGTTGATATCTAGATCCAAGTCAAAATAATTTTACATTAAATATATTGCTAATTGAGGAAATAATTTAGGGTCTCAAATCATTTATTAGGATAAAGGTTTTGTTTTTCCTCTTATTTTGGAAATCTTATTCCTTATCTTATGAAGAGAACTAGTCTGGTATAGTACAGACAGAATATGCTCAATAATCATAAAACTTATATAGCTTTTTGAAATGGTGAAGTGGAAGGAGTGCTGAATTTGAGGGTCTGAGTTTGAATTCTAGCTCTGTTACTAGCTATGTGACCTTGGATGAATCACTTAACTTCATTGGATTTCATTTTTCTTATCTGTAACATCATGGTTGGGGGTGGAACAGATGGCCTCTAAAATTTCTCTTAGCTCTCCATCTATGATCCTAGGTTCTTGTGTATAGGAAGCATCTTATAATTGTTGAGTGAATAAATGTCTAATTTTACATGAAGCCTGAACCTAACTGAATGTGATAGTCATTGTGTTATCTTAAGGAAGCCACCTATAACATAGAACCATTGGCCCAGGGGGCCCAGGTACTGAAATGCCCAGGGTGGGGAAAAAAACCCAAACAAGCTGGATCGCCTATAAAGCAAGTTAAACTCTAGTACCTAAAAATGATAGGACAAAAAGAGATTGTGTTCATGTGTTAATTTTATCACAATATATTCATTTTTCAAAGTTAACATGAAATCACACACCAACGAAGAGATAACATATAGTAGATAGAGTGCTGGTCTTAAAGACTAGAGGACACGAGGTCAGATTCAACTAGTTTTTTGGCCCTAAGCATATCATTGAACCTAAGTCCCCACTTGTGAAATGGGGATAATAATATCAGCCATACGATGGAGTTACGTCGTAAGCATGTATAAGTTATGTAAATTCAACTATAAGCACTAGAGAGTGGAATGGGGAGGTGAAGTACAATTTAAATGTCTCCAATGATGCCTCTATTCCACTGGGTGAGTATATATACTTTGGAGTAAGCTTGAGTAGATGTGAATCTGTTGTTTGCTCAGTCTTCTCAATTCACACATGCCTCTCATAGTGTGAACATTATCACCTTCCTGCATGTGATTCTAGAGTATCATTTTCATCATAGGCTCATAGAGTTTGAGGACTACTTTAAGTTACCCTTCCTAGCTAACACGTCCCTGGTTACCTGAAAGGATCCCACTATTCTCTTTAACTTCCTCATGTATTCTTTTGTTTCATGGGGGAATCAAGGCATAGCAATAATTATATGGTTGTATGACATTTTCAAATGTAATCACACTTATGCGTTAAGCCCTCACGAGCATTTTCTCCCTAATCATCAATTTTCCTGAAAGTGATGGTTTTTTTAAACCTGTTTTTTTTTCCCTTCTGTTTGAGTAGAAGTCTTTGTTCCCATCTGTCTCCTTATCAATGGTTTAGCTGGGCATAGTGAAAAATATAGTTTACATTCAATTGTTTCCTTAGCAACCACATCGCCTTTGTCTGATCTCTAAAACAGACTGTCTTCTTTTTACAAGACCCTAGCCTACCTAGCTCTTTCCCAGCTATACAAGTTTAAAGATATTATATTGCCCTTTCTAAACGACTTAAGGGTTTTTCAAAGGTAAGTTTAACTTTACAAAAATTAACATCCTTCAGAATCTAACCTAACCCCAGGGTAAGAGATGCCCACATGGTGCCTATTGGGTCTATTGTGAGGCTCTAAATGAAGTAAAACATGTAGGGTGCTTAGCAAACTTGAAAGCATCATACATACATCATCATTATTATTAACTTTTCATTTTGATCTATTTCATTATGCTTGGTTATCAAGAAAGCAACCATCTTCTGTTTGGTCAGCATTTCAAAAAATCATTTGAAGACGTTTAGAGATATAGAAATTTTTCATTATTATATATTACACGGCTTATAGATTTTTGTGAAAGCAGAGTGACTTTGTATTTGTATGCAGCTCAATGTGAACTGCTTGGTTTCCCAGTCAAATGCCAGAATACAATGTGCATAAACATTTCCCAGATACATATCTAGGAAGATTTCCAGCTTGAACTTTCAACATAGCTATCCAATGCAATTCAGTAATGGGTTGTACACAAGGTAGATGAATCACTCTATGAAAAAGAGTGATGAGAAGCAACAAGGTTCTGCAAAAGCAAATGAGGTTGGGCACAATAGTACAGGGGAAGGCATTGATGCTCGCTCCTTACCGTAGTTTTTTCCAGACAGTGAAGCAGGTGGTGGTGCTGGGTTTCAAAGCAAGAGCCAGATTTGCTAACAAAGGCCTGTTCATCTTCTCCAGAGGACTGTTAACACAGAGAAATACAGTGTTGCTGTCTATATTATTTGCAAACAATGGAGATGCTAGCCACATGCTTCTGCAAGACAGATCTGGGCTACGATGGGCCATAATTGCAGTGTTTGTCAGCAAAACCCAACAGACAGAAAAATGGCTTTTGAGTTATATGATCAGTAGTCAAAACGACTAGTGTATCTTCTTAGTTTGGACATTTAAACCATTTTTTGAAGTTTCAACCATTGTTACACCTCTGGATCAGTCTGTCATCATCTTAACTTCACATTTAAATAAGTACTTAATAGACACATTCTGAAAAAAAAACACCCTTTTACTTTTTTTAAATGATATAAAAGTTACTTTGTTTTTAATTTTTTTATTCTGAACTTAACAAATGCCAAAAAGGTGCATTTTCAAATATTTAGTAGAACAGAAAAAGAGGTTTATACACAAACTGCAGGTCTCAAAGCTTCCTTGTTATTAAAATAATTGCAAGCATAGCTATCCATGTAGGACAAAAGCTCTTAACTTGTTTGTTTGTCTTGGGCAGTCTGGTGAAGCCTTCAGACCCCTTCCTAGAATAATGTTTTTAAAGGTATGAAATAAAACACATAAGATTATAAAGGAAACCAATTATAATGAAATATAGTTTCCAAAATATTTTAAAAAATCAGTCATAGACCCGATGTTAAGAATTCATGATATGAGCTTTAAAAATTAAAACACACATGAATGAATTCAATAATTGAGATTTTTGGAGAATTTTATGATACTTTCCAAGTTAACTGGAAACTAGAGCAATTTTTATGGATGGGAAAGAGGCATGAAACACACCTGAGGTAAGCAGCACAAAAGGACCCTTCAATCTCACTGCGGAGTCTCTCTGAAGGGAGAGGGAGAGCAGGAACAGGGTAGGGAAGAGGTTGTTTGGGACATAACTGTCGGCTTGCCATCTGGTAGAGTGCAATGTTGACTAATTATTTTTGCTAATTGGTACTGAGATCTATAGTTGTTATACTGCTGAAGTACTTTGTTCCAGGCAAGGCATCAAAACATAGAGGATGCTGACATTATTTAAAGCCCTGCTGGCCTCACCCTAGTTACATATCTTTTAGGAACTATCAAGAATGCTGCACAAGCATGTTTGAGGGTCAGTGTGAGAGAAGAAAAAAATATGTTCCCTAGAAATACCATTGGTTCTAAAATCATAGCATTGGTGGGGTAACTAGCCATGTCTGAGTCTAGGGGAAGTGATGGAATTTTTATTATTTCACTATTCATAATTATTCAGTATGTGATTTAAGTTTAGAAGAAGAAGCCTCATGGCATAAGGGATAGAGAGCTGTACTGAGAACTAGAAAGTCCTGGAATCTAGTCCCACTCCTGATGCTTTCTGAGTGTGTGATCCTGGATAATTCGCTTAACCTTTCAATGTCCCAGGGAACTCTCCAAGACTATAAATTGCTGAACAATTGCTTTTGTGTATTGGTAGAGGAAGTTTCCTCACCATGATGAGTTCCTTATAATAAAGAAATCACAGGTATGGGAAAAGGAAAAAGAAAATGGCCACAAAGCAATCAGTGGGGTAAGGCTGGTTTAAAGCGCTGTTATATTAATGACTGTGGACATTTTTTTTTTTCAAATACGAAGGGACTTGTCAATGTATTACCTGGAGCTGGTTACTAAGTAATCCATTTCGTTTGCTCTGCATATAAGCATTGGCACTTCCACTCTTGGCTGCCCGGATTCTCGCAAGCCTTGCTTTCTATATCAAAAGATAAGAAAAGAAAAATGTCTTTTTTGCTAGGTGTAGCTTGTTGATAAACCAGCTAAAACGCATTTCAATGAATTAGTACTGTTTTATTTAAAAGCATTCTAGCTTTTCCTATATAACACTATATGTATAACTCTAGGTTAGAAACTTACAGTTTTCTGACTGATTGGTGCCTTCTTGCCTATAACCTTAGAAATGAAGATCTAATTGAATCTGGTGTGGGACACTTTCTCTTCCTACAAAATACCTAAAATTGGCCTGATCATATCAGTGAGCTGCCCTGAAGAGTGAAAGGACTTGTGGACCCTGAGTTCTAGTCAAAGCATCATGTCCCAGAAGCATCTTGTCTCAAGACCATTATGGACTCCCTCTTCCCATCATGGTCTGAAGATCACTATTCTTCAAGATCCCTAGTAATACCTTTGGTGGAACCTCTCCCAGTCATTTCTGGCCTCAGCATGAGGGAATAATATAGGATCAGGAAAACCCTGACATAGAAGGAGTGCATTCCAAGTATGGGGGACAGCCAGTATAAAAGCACAAAGACAGGGGTTGGAGTATCATGTGTATACAGATCAGATGTTGCTCCACTTTTTTGGGGGGGAGAAGTTGCTGCCTCAGAATCCTTCCCTTGTTGCATCTTCCTCCTTCCTGTTCCTTTGGGTGACTCCAGTTAAAGTAACTTTCACATCGGTATTCAAATAGGAGGGCCCATTAACATCAGCATTGATTGTCTTATCTAATTCTTATATGAAGCCCTTTTAATCCCAACACTGGACCCCCAGCAGATACAATCATATCAGAGAGAAAAGAAATCAATATTGTAGTGCATATATTTTTGCTTATTTCAATGACACTGAATGTGATGAGTATCCCAGGGACCCAAGAACAACAATAATTTTAAAAGCCCTGCCATTTAAAGCAATATGTTCAATCAAATAGGGCCCACAAAAAGACTAGTGTTTTTTTAACCAAAGAAGTGCTGATTTTCACTCTCTGCAGATCAAAGAGAAATGTATCTTTGCTTATTCTCTAGTTAAACTGGTCATACTAGACTACCAAACAGTATTCTTCATTTCCTCTCCTACTTTTATGGATCATCTATCTGCCTTAGCTATGAACATTGACTAACATAACTGGGTAATTGCAAGATTCAAGGGTCATTTTGTGCTAAGTACGGAAGCCCTAGGATAGAGTAACAACTCATAATCTTTCATCACAGAAAGGAATGTTTTCATTCAGGAGGTTCATCACCTCCAGATTGATCAATCCTTCTGTGGGTCAAATTCAAGAAACAAGATATTTCTGTTGTACTATATTGGGTTAAGTTTTTTTTTTTTCATAAAGACCAAAGTAAATCTATAAAGAGAAGTTCTGTGCATTTTACTTAGGGAGGTTTGCATGGAGAATCTATTTTTTCAGAGAAAGAGGGAGGGAATATAGCATAGTAGTCAGGAAAATGGGTTCAAATTCTGCCTCTGCTACTCACTAGCTGTATGAATGAGGGCAGTTCATTGTCTAAGCCTTTGTTTCCTCCTCTGGAAAAAGGAGATACAGTAATAGTGAAGCTCAAAAGAGATAACGCATGTAAATCACTTTAAAAACCTTAAAGCATTATATAAATGTGAAATGATTTTTTAGTTCTGAGAGAACTTAGAGCTGTCGTTTGGAGTAGTAACAAAAGGAACAACAGTAACAACAGTAAGCTATATACATGCTAGCTATTATAAGGGAACCAGTATGGTGCATTGGAAAGAGTTCTGGATTTGAAGTCAGAGGCTTCAAATTTGGCTTCAAATTCAGGCTCTGTCCTTGTCTGTGGCAAGTTGGCAAGTTGCTTCCTGGGCCTCAGTTTCCTGAACTGTAAAATGAAGGGCATGGACTGGATGAGCTCTAACGTCTCTTTCAGGTTTAAATCTATGATCCCGTGAAAGGATGGTGCCAGCTGATGGAAGCAAGATTCCTAGACAGTACTGTGTTAGTGATGATACTACCAGTAAGATAGGAATCCTGTACTTCAGATGATGAGTAAAAGTGTTTGGACAAGATGTTTTGGACAAGAATTTCCCTCCAACTTTCTCTTTCCCAACCTCAGACTAAATGCCACATTAATCAATACTCTCACTCCCATGGTGCTGGGATGCTTTAGGGCTAGAAGTAAATGCTAAAAAAAAAAGTACTAGAATGACATTTCACTTTGTCTTCTTCTTCCCTGTCTTTCAAAGACTTACCTTCACAAAAGGTATGACTATAGATTAAAAAGAACTATTGACTGAGCTCATGTTTTTCAGCAATGACATTTTAATACTTTCTATTTATTCTTATTATGATCTTAGAAACTGTAAGGCTCACTATTTTTTTCTTCTTCTGAAAATTGTTGACATTGGTCAAAATTTTCTTGGCTATGTTTACTAAATATACTAATATTTACTATTTTAAAGCCTATCATTATTGAAAAAAATTAGATAATACAAGGGGCAGGTGGGTGGTACAGAGGATAGAGTGCCCAGCTTGAAGTCAAGAAGACTCATCTTTCTGAGTTCAAATCCAGTCTCAGACACTTATTAGCTGTGTGACCCTGGGCAAGTCACTTAATCCTGTTTGCCTCAGTTTCCTCATCTATAAAGTGAACTAGAGAAGGAAATGGTAAACCACCAGTATCTTTGCCAAGAAAACCCAAAATCAGGTTATGAAGAGTCATACATGATTGGAAAACAACTGAACAGCAACAAAGATAATACAAAAGAAATGTTTTTGTTTAGTGCATGAGCTGAAGTCTCAGATTTTTCAGCCATGCCTCCAATAAACTGAGGCAAGTAATGAATTGCATGACAAAGAGGGCTAGAGTTTTGAAATAAACTACTTAAGAATAAATGAACAAACCCAGGTCTGGTAGCTCACACCTGTGATCCCTGCCCCTGACCATGTGAGGGCCCATAGATAGTGGTGGTGGAGACCAATACTAAGTCCAGTAAGCCTCTCAGGAGTGGTGGGGAGGTGCTAAGAAAAGGTGAACTAGCCCAGGCTCGAAACAGAACAGGTCACAATCCTCATGAATATCAGTAAGGGACAATTCTCTAAATAGCTATTGTACGTCTAGTCAAGAAAGATAGGGAAATCCAGGTGCAAAGAAAAAAAAATAGTATTAATTAATGAAATGCCTGCTTTGTTACAGGCATTGTAATAGGTGCTGGGATTACAAGTGGAAACCAAAATAGCAGATGCCCTCTAGAACCTTATATTCTACTTATACACACATTTAATTGGTAGAGAGACAGGTGTGGTCTGGAAATTTATCACTAAAGTTAATCTGGTCATGCTACGTACTGTTAACTTTCTGCAGCCACCACAGTAATTATATTGCCAATTTTTAAATTCTTTGGTTTTCTCTTTCTCTGACATTCTGTGTTTGTGTCTGTCTGTCTCTTTCTCTCTTTTACTCTCCTAGCACTTAGTAGCAGCACAGGGAAATATTGCTTTCCTTTATTAATGAGACAAATGCCTTAACCCAAAGTACTGCCCAATACAGGAAAATTAAATGTAGTAATCACAAAGATAAGTTCATGTATTTGAAAGTAATCACTACCATAAGATTAGTTATAGACACAGATGGAAAAAGTACCACTTGTTTTATAAGAGAAGAGCCATTTAAACTAGTTAAAGTAGAACAATATTTTTTAAAAAATGAACCACACTAATTTAAACCTATAACTCCTCCCTTCCTCCTCTACACATGACTATAGTACTATATTAGGTAATAAGTTTTAATAGGCTTTGTAGAACACCTTACCATATGGCTAATGAAGGCTAGCTACCTTCTATATGCAAAGACTTATACCTTTTGGTCTAACTTGTAACTGAAGGAAATTATTTTACAAAAATACTAAAAAAATTCACTAAATCCCTGCTCCATTCAAGCATATAGTTTTGCTAGTATGGATTGTGAAGGTTAAAAGAAAATTAACCACTAGTTCAAGTTCAAACTCAACTATTTCTGAAGTGCCTACTATGTGAAGGCAAGAAACTACATGCATAGTGGATAATAGGCTTATATAGCTAAAGCTTGAAAAAAATTTTTTAGAGATCACTTTGTCCAGCCATTTAGTTTTATAGATAAGGAAACTGAGGCCAGAGGGGCTAGAACATTTCTCCAATGTTATACAGGTAAGAGAAAGGGCTTGCCTTGAAGTCAGAGAGAACAGATTTCAAAAGCCCTCCTGCTGTGAACATGGGCAATTTCACCTATAACTGCTGAAGGCAACTGTCTAAGACTCTTAGTTTCAGAGGAGTTGCTGATCTGCATTAGTGAAAATAAGTTCTACTCTAGGAATTACCACACTGATGAAATTGCCGGATGGAAATGCCTCATAAGTCCTTGCCAAATGTGAACGGCATTGTGCCAGGTGCTGAGGATAGGACGCAGAATTGTACAAAAATGAAAGAATGCCTTCCTTCAAGGAGATGAGATTTTACTGGGAGACTATATCATACCCATAGATAGAGAAATACAAGGTAATCAGAGGAGAGGGAAAATACTTATAATTGTGAGGACTAGGTGACACTAGGAGGTGACGATCCTAGCTGAGCCTTAGGAAAGACAAAGGTTCTCCGAGGCACAGAGAAAGGGTCCATTCTAAGTGTGCAAATGCCTATGCAAAGATACCAGGACAGAAGACGGAATGTTGAGTTTAGGGAACTGCCCATTTGGGAACTAGATTGTAGAATGCATGAAGGAAAATGAGAGACTATTATAGTGGTTAAAGGCTGGAGTTAGAGTCAGTCAGACAGGCCTCTATTCAACTCCTACTTCAGATACCTGTTAGCGGTATAAATCATGAGCAAGGTGTAACCTTTCTGAATCAGTTCGCTATCTGTAAAATGGGGGTAGTAATTTTAGCACATACGGTTTCTGTGAAGCTCAAATGAGATAATGTAGCTTAAAAGCATCCTGCAAACTTTGAAGTGCTTTATTAGTTGTTACTTTTAAATGC